CCAAAACTTTCAGTTAATGAAGCTGCATTTAATTTGAATAATTGCGTATCACATACCGGGAAGGTACAACGGTCATGCAGATCATCTATCTCGTTTCTGATTACCACCAGAGTGGCATCTTCTACCTGCATGTGCAGAAATTGTGTTCAAAAAGTTTGGTGTGCCTGTGATAGATTTATTTGCATCAAAGACTGCTCATGTCGTTGCGAATTATGTTTTTTGGACCAAAACGATGTTTATTCAATTTATCACGGAGCTTTTTCCCGTTAATAGAACTATGCGAAAGGTTGGATTTTCCTTCCTCCTTATCTAATTTTCAAAGAATTTAATCACCTCAACCAAGCTCAAGGCACTTATTTCCTCAGTGGGATCGAGTAATTTGGTGAGCAGGTCTGAAATCCAGAGCATTGGTTCCACCGTTTACCACCCTACCCCACCTAAGTCGTTACCTGATAGATACCTCAACGAATTTTTCCATCTTCGAAAGTACAAGAGATGATATTGGTAGTGTGGATTTGTAGGGCTGGTCAAGTAACGTAACTGACAGCTCAATCTTTTACAATCATCATGGCGTTCATCTACGCGCAAGACATATAGGGCAGCCTGGCTTAGATGGCTTAAATGGAATAAGCTACATAAGTTTAATGCTTTTCAACGTAATGGTTCAGTATTAGCAAGGTTTTTAGCCTATTTATACCTTAAAGAATTATTCTCTTATTTATAACACAGTATTGTTACGTAATATCCACGTTGTGTAATACAGAACTATCAGGTTCCTATAGTTCTCACGTGTTTATTCGACACGTTGTTACGTCAATTTCTTTTAAAAACCCCGTAACACACAAAACGTCTGTTTGGGATGTTGATAATAATCTTATGTCTTTTTTAAAACATTATACTTTGACAAAGAAAGCAAATTCTTAGTCTCTGGACACACTGCAATATGACTTTGTTTAGGTCGTAGAGTTCATGACCTTACTTTATTAGCAGTAGATTTTGACCATTTTAAGAGAAATGACGACTACATTATTTTAAAATGTAAAAATATATATCTACTAAAACTTTTGCACATTATCAAACAGTAAATATGTGATACCCTTATTTTATGACGTCTGTTACCCCTATTACAAGATCGACAAATACGAGGGTCAAACTGAAAGTTCTTAGAACTGGCCACTTATAAACAATATAATAAAAAAATAATTCTAAAATTTGAAAATATAACTCTTTGCCAATATTACTGAGTATATATTTCATTCATTTGTCATTTGTTTTACGATTTGGCGGCAAATTGAAAATTGTCTGTGTCACGTCATCATGAATTTAACACGAGAAAATTTTCGTGCAATGATTTTTTATGACTTTCGATGTCATTTAAGTCAACAAGAAAGTTATGATAGACTACGATTGGCCTTTCACGATGAAGCCCCATCTCGTGCGACTGTTTACAACTGGTTTAATGAGTTTAAACGTGGTCGCACTAATCTCACTGATGATTTACGTGAGGGACGGCCTTCTACGGCGACGACTGAAGATAACATCTGTGTTGTGCGGCGTATGATAGAGACTGACAAAAGAGTGACCTATCAACAGATTCGGACAAGCTTAGGCATCGGTATGAGTCAAGTGCACAAAATCCTCCACGAACATTTAGCGGTCAGGAAGCTTTGCGCCCGGTGGATACCTCATAATTTGACTGAGGCTCAAAAACTCCATCGTGTGGATTGGTGTCGTAAAATGATTGAAAGATTTAACGGAGGTGACTCAAATGCTGTGTTCGACATACTAACAGGTGACGAAAGCTGGATTTACTGTTATGATCCTAAAACCAAAAGAAAATCTGCTCAGTGGGTGTTTCCTTTCGAGGAGTTGCCAACTAAAGTGAAGAGAGATCGAAGTGCGGGAAAAAAAATGGTGGCCTCGTTCTTTGGAAGGATAGGTCATTTTGCAACAATTGTGTTAGAGGATCAAAAAACAGTTTCTGCAGAATGGTACACTACCAATTGTTTGCCACTTGTCTTGGAAAAAGTTCGAGAGAAACGACCTCGCTGTAGGATCCTCCTTCACCACGACAACGCCTCGTCGCACACCGCCAAGCGAACGATCGACTATTTGGCGACATCAAACGTTGAATTACTGGGTCACCCGCCGTATAGCCCCGACCTCGCGCCTTGTGATTTTTATTTATTTCCAAAAATTAAAGAAAAACTTAAAGGAAAGCGGTTTATGAATGCTGAAGAAGCGGTGGCTGCGTATCGCGATGCCATTGAAGAGACCCCTAAGGACGAGTGGGCAAAGTGCTTTTCCCAGTGGTTCCATCGCATGCAGCGGTGTATTGACGTGAATGGACAATATTTTGAAAAGATATAATAAAACTAATAACTGGCTAATGTAATCAGTTTTTGATTTTCTAAGAACTTTCAGTTTGACCCTCGTAATCTTTCAGTCGACGAAATCTTATATCTCGTAGTAACTGGAGATCTGAAAATACTTTTAAAAAATTTTATAAACGTGAACGTGTCCAACTTCAGCTATAGTACTAATCAAAATATTATAAATACTTTTGTAACAATTACAAATTGATTAATTATATAAATTTAAGCAACATCACTGATTTTGTACTACTTTCAGTTTAGTAATTATTACAAATTGCATTGACTTAATAACTAAGTAAGTCTTTGCTACATAATATCAAGCTTATTTAATTTGATACAAACAATTGTGTAATTTTCTTTCAAATCCATTTTCATGTCTAATGTCACATTGGCGTCATTCATCTCCACCAGGCGATAACAAACACGTCTCAAACCATAAAGTTTCAAATAACGGTCAAGTGTTTAATGACAGCGTTTTTCCTGAAATAAAACGCTTATTAAATACTTACCTTATTTGAAACTTTAATTTAAATGCTGCCTGGTGGGTTTTTCGACTCAATGAAGCAAGCGCGCAAAGCCTGCCTGGTGGTCGAGTAGACGTCAGATGTGCGAGTGAAAGGCAAAATATGTAGAAAGAGAGGCAAATAGGCAAGCAGGAAACCATAGAGCCTATCTCAAACCATAAAGTTTCAAATAAGGTAAGTATTTAATAAGCGTTTTATTTCAGGAAAAACGCTGTCATTTTCCAAAAAATAGAATCGACTTCAAAGTTATAAAAAATACTTATTTTAAAAGCGGTTCGATTTTTCAAAAAAATATTGAAATCGGGGTGAAGTTTTCTGTAGTTTATTAAATATTAACCGTCTGACTTTAATGTTTTTGAAAAAACATGTACAAGAATTGAGAACCTCCTCTTTTTCGGAATTCGGTTAATAAAACGTTTTTTTTTTTTGTGATCAATGTTCTCCTTCAATTGCTATTATTATTATTGGTGTTCTTACAATTTAATTTACTATATAGATTGGCACATTAATATTTTTATTCATAATTATAATGCTGACAGATAGCAGATACATTTTATTTGCTGTTTTTTGTAAAATTTTTGTAGTATGTACATATTTAGGGTATTTAGGGTATTCAAAAAGACTTCTTAAAAGTACTTTTGAATCTTCCAACATTTTTTCCCTACCATTCGTTCAGGACGTCTTTTGGCTGATGAGAAGAACGAGCAAGAAACTCACCAGCTCTAATAGGTTTATATCAATACATTATAAATAGAGAGGGAAAAAAAAACTATGGTCTTATAATGATCATATAATCATGTAATAATATCATCATCCTCCTGCCCTATATCCCACGTTACGTGGGGTCGGCACAACATGTTTTCTTCTGCCATTCTTCTCTGTCAGACGTCAGCTCCACATCCTCACCTTTCCAATTCATATCCTCTTTCACACAGTCGATCCATCTTTTCTTCGGTCTGCCTCTACTCACATATCCATCCACATGCATACCCATCACTCTTTGCGTCGCCTCGGGGGTACGCCCTAGCATTTACTCGCATTCCATCATCCGACATACTCATGTTGTGGGAAGATTTGGCTGAAATTTACGACCGGCCGCCTGCCTGACGCCTCCTTGGGAATGCATTCGTAGGTGATTTTCCCGTCACCTTACGGGCGGAATAGGATTTGGGTGGAAGAATATGGTTGGAAAAAGTGTGAGGGAAATCTAGGATAGGGAAACAGGTGGGATACTGCCACCACGGACGGAAAGTAGGAAAGTGGCATGCAGTAGTTCGGGCAGTCCGGGGTTGCTTACCCGTAACCACATCTGGTTAACGGAAATTTTGTCAATAGTGCGGTCATCAATCATGTAATAATAATGGAAACAAAATAATTTTTGATATTTGCCAGTTGCTGGACCATCTTAAATCCAAGCATTCTCGTTTTTTATATAATCGGATACCTTATAATAAGCTTTTCTACTAAGTACAGGCAGTCCTCAACTTACGTCGTTTCAAGTTACGTCAAACAATGTTTTGACACTGTTCCTCAAGCATACGTCAATTGTTTCGATAGGAGAATTCACTTGTCGCGAGGTCAATGTCCGTGGGGTTTTAATGTTAATAACAAAATTAGTGCAGCTTAAGAAGAAAGAAGCGAAGCAATCAAGAATTGATAGTTTCTTTAAGCCAAAAGTTAAATTTATTATTTCTCATTGCATATTTCTATTATTAAAGTTTTATTATTATTATAGAAATACTAAAAATTTCATAAGTACATTTATAATTATTTTAAGTTTAATTACTTACTTTTGATAATAAAGTATGTATATCCTTTGTTATAAATGTAGTTTTTTGTTTATTTTGAGTCCGTTTGGAACCTAACCCTTGAGTTTTACATGTATGAAAAAATATGTCTCGACTTACGTCGTTTCGCTTTACGTCGCGTATTTCGAGAACCTAACATGCCGTAAGTACGAAGACTGCCTGTATTTTTTAATAGTAGATATAAACTACATGATATCTTATTGTTGTATTTTGCTTGGGACCTTGTTGTAGAAGCGCACTAAAAGACCCCTGTAAGTTTTATATGTCCTATTATTCCTTGTAATTTTTGGTCGTCATCTGTTGTTATGGATTGAATGAATGAATGAATAAATAAATAATATGATTATACCGGCGTCGAGTCTTTGCTGGTCGGCATTATGCGCGAGTCGTTCAGCGGCCCGTTCGTTCTCAGCGCGCATCTCCGCCACCAGTCGCGACCGCTGCTCCTGGTACGTCGCCTCCAGTTCCAGGATCTGCTTCTCCAGTCTACATCACCAATACGGATCATCATCATCATCAGCCCTTTTACGTCACCATTGCAGGGGCTCAGGCCTTCCTTATAAGTTAAGGAGCATGAGCCGTAACACTGCACGCTGGACAAATGCGGATTAGAGGGTGTTAACGACTGCAAATGCAGCCGAGACAAACGGCTTAACGTGCCTTCCGAAGCACGGAGTAGCTAGCGATGATAATTTTTCGGTCACCCATCCCGTGACCGACCCTTGCGGAGGACGCTAAACCACAACGATCGCGGCGCTTAACTACTACCCCATCGTGTCAATACAGATGATGACTAATTTTTGCTTGTCTGTAAATCGGGTAGATTAGTGAAGAAAATTAAACACTTACTTTTTTATTTTTTGCGTGTACCTGGACACTAAGTAATTTCGATACACATATTTCTTCAGTCTAAAGGCGGTTGATTTATAAGTTATTACGTAGAGAGTCCCCACTTCTCAACTTTAATGCTTATAATTTAAGCCATTTTTTGTTAAATTGAAACAAAAAAATACGTAGTAATACCTAGAGCTGGCCAGCTGCCTCTCGTGCTGCAGGGCAGCGTCTTTCTCCTCCTCAAGGGTTCTTCTTAGTGCCTCCAGCTCGGCAGCATGCTTGGCCTGTGCTCTTCCACACTGTTCAGCGTGCTGCATCTTCAAATCTGCTATTTCCTTCTGCTGCCGATCAGCCATCTCTCTCAGCTCCCCTTCCAAACCTTTCACTGTTAGCTCCTAAGTAGGAAAGATATATTATTATTGCAAATACGGGTGCTAGACTACTGCAGCAGTCAATATACCATGGATAAACGATAGATTCTTTCCGTTTCAGGCTAGATGTAGTAACTTGTATGCTTACTTTGATTTTTTCTGCTTTCTGCCGAACCCAGCGTTGTCTGGCGACCTGAAAAAGCATAAGATATCTATGAAACGTTTAAAACTATTTGTTACTTGGTTTCTTTATATGGAAATTATTAAATTATAAAAAGTAGTTTAAGGTAGTCGCTAAAAGCCTATAACGGGTTTCTAATGCATCTTAAATAAAATAAAATGATGGTATAAGACATTTCCATGAGATCCAATCAAACAAACAATTACATTAAGATAGATGTAATATACGCCAAATCAAAGCTAAATTTCGAGCGCAGGAAATGTCGACCAATCAGAATTATTTAAGTATCACGCCATCGGGCGATCCACCAATACCAACGCACCTGACCCTTGTCGAGTGTGAGAGATAAGTACACCTAATGCGTTGTATGTACGGTTATTGAGGCAAGATTTATAACTAATCGGGCGTTTGGTCATCGTTGTAATAGGCTAGTTGGGGTAGATTTCTGACGAATATTAAACACATATTTTTTAATAGCGTAATCAATTAATTACGACGATATATCAAATTAAAATGTTGCGTGACAACTTTGTACATTTTCTACGTGGATGTGACGTAGCGTGCTTCTTGATAAATTACAGCAAAAAAAATATACGCATACATTATTTTTCTATTATCTAACTGATGGACTAAATGGAATCTCTCTTTTTTTACCCAGTTATCATCCCTATTCTCATGTGTATACACATCCGTACCTGTTGCGCGGCGGCCATCTTGTCATGTTGATTGCGCAGCTCCAACTTGTATCGGTCCTCTAACGCTTGAGCTGATCGTTTCCAACGTTCTTCTAGAGCACGCCGCTCGTCTACCAATTGCTCTATACGATGATTTAACGTCTTCTTATCGTTTATTAGCTGATCAAACATCAATAATAATAATATTTTTTTATTTATTCTCCTCACAAAAACTTACATTACATTGGATACATAAATAAATATTTTTAATATTAAATCTGTGAGGAGCTGGTGTTTGAAATGGGATTAGCCTGTGTTACAAATCACCAGGTCGGCATGTGACATAATTTCATTTTATAGGTACTTATCATACAATGCTGTGACCTAAAAATAAAAAAAAAGAAATGGAGAAATAGTTTTAACGTTTAACTTAGCATAATAAGAGCAAGAAAGGTGAAAACAATGATACCGATTTCTTATATTTTCACGAGTACTATTCATTAAATGAAACAACTTTAAACGGTTTCAGATTATTTGTATTTGCTTTCATGACGTTTCGGACCCTTTATACGTTCTGTGTTCACTTAAGAATTAGGACTTCAGTGAACACGGAACAAGTATAGGGTTAAGTCTTAAAGGAGAACTTTTTTTATGGAGTCTGGTACTTTATTCAAATTATCTCCAACCAAGCATAAAGTATACTTATATTAATCGATAGAGGGCAAATAAACCTTTTAAGCGCCACCAAAATGTTTATATTCTGGTTTGAACATCATTTGGTGGATATTTTATAATTTTTTTAGCAACACATAAACGCATTAAGAAAATCTATGGCAACCCCATCCCTAAGTTACGTTCCAATTCATGCTGTGAATCAATCTATTTGGACAACATGGAATTATTATTTTTATTTGCTACTAACTATTGTTATTTCAGACCTCTAAATCTCAAATACAGATATATTTTAATAATCGAAGCTCGGCAACGCAGATTAGGCCTGGTTTGAGTCTATTCAGTGCGTGGCTTATTATAATAAACAAATTATTAATTCGATTTTCACAATATTGATATATGATTCGTCTACTAGGTACGCTAAGTTATTATAAGGTGCTTTGGGGTAATACACAAAACAGGCAAATTCAGGATGCCTGAATTTTGTGTCGGTAAAGTTGAGTATTAAACAGGCTTTTAAATCTTTTAATTACAACAAACATATTGCTTTTTGTTTTATTTCACTATCGGAATTTCCCCACTTTCGTTGTTTTCTAATTTATTTATGAATGTAAGCTGATTCTAAACTGTTTAAATACCTGGTCAATAAAATTCTGGTGTCTCTTTATTGTCTCCTCGCACTCTTGCTTCACTTTGGCTATATTCCGTAACGATTGCTTTTCGAGATTGCTTACTTTCGAAATCATCTGTGAAAGAGTAGTATTAGAAAAATTAATCAACAACCACAATTTTAGCTGTAGGATAATAAACCTATAATAATTATCATCAGCCCTTTTACGTCCCCACTGCAGGGACTCTGACCTTCCTTAAGGATAAGGAGGATGGGCCCTGACCCAATGCGGATTGGACGGTATTAACGACTGCAAATGCAACAGGGGCTAAAGACGTAACGAGCCTTGTAAAGGACGAAGTAACAATGTCTCGGTCACCCATCCCGTGACCGACCCTTGCGAAAGTGCTTAATCAACTACCAAGCGTCATATCATTACTAATCGAATAAAAGTCTTCAAAGAATAAAAAAAAACGCGTCTAATACCTGGTATTAAAAGTATTTGAATAAATCAAATCACGAAAAGTTTCAGATAAATGACCTGTTCCTTGTGATTGGTGAGGCTTTCTTGCAGCAGAGCGATGCAGCAAGATCGCTCCTCCAATTGAAGCGATGCAGTTACTAGCCGCTGAGCCAGTTCGGTTTGCGGCAACTTCAGGAGCGATTCTAACCTAATAAATTGACAACATTAAAATCGAGCAAGAGTAAAGGTGAAAGGTGAAGTCTGAGTGGATCTATCCTGGCCTGTATGCCAACCAAAAACGGTCGGTATACCAACAAATAATACAGTTATTTTTCAGCCCACGAAAAATAACTGTACACGACATAATACGGGTGTAGACAGTAAACGAAAATAAATATATTTTTTCTGGTGGTGTTTAATATACTATTACCGAAAATCACACTTTCATGCTTATTATATTTATAATATTGCTTAAACTAATTATGAGTCTAGTCACGCCTCCCTTACTGACATCAGAACTTAAAGAATTGAATTAACTTCAAAAAGCGGCATCCGCTCAACCTTGAATTGGTAATAACGTTTCGTGGCATAAGTGAAGTGAGTTTCGAAATGATATAGGAATAGAATATCTGAGACACGTATAATAAATCAATTTTGTTTTGTATTTTTATATAAAAAATGGCATCAACGGAATTTCTTCACTAAATAACGTGAATTCGGTGACATGAGTGAATTCGAATTCGGGTTCGGATTTTTACAATATGGATTTTTAAAATATGCTACGTTACACATATATGTAGGTGCTCACTACAATACAAAATTAGGATCGAGTACAATCTACTTACTTGGGTATAGTTTGAGGAGTGGTACTAGTTACTACTGACAGAGCATCATTGGCACTCTGTTCTACTTTTTCTAAAAATTCAAATATCTCCCTGAAATAAATAAAAAATTTCATCAAACATACTGTCAAAGATATCCGTATTATTTAAATATGCAAACAGGCTTACAAATGTATTCAAATTAATACATTTTTAATTTTAGATAAATAAAGTGGATTGTGGATGGGTTAGATTTACATAAAAGATGTATTTTTTCACTTTTTAGCGGATTTAATTATTTAATATCATAATCTTGTTAGCGAAACCTCTGTTTTAATGTCCAAACGTAACGTGTCGTTTAGTTAATCTGCCATCTTGGGTAGCATGGCATATTGGATATAGAATGAACTCATTTTATTATTTTCACATTTATTTGATAGCAACGCACATAAAAAATAACTTAGTAACTCATCATCTTGCGACGTCCTATCATTTAATATTTAGTTTAGCAAAGAGATAAAACACTACAAATTAAATAAAAGCTTAAAATCTTATTCTTACAGAAAATTATCCTTTGGTGGGGCACTTTCCTCGTCTTTCTTAGGATCCATAGTGTTCTTGGTACTCGGAACGTCTACGCTCGCAACTGTAGTCACTGGATTTTCACCATAACTCTCGATTTCTTTTAACATAGAATATATATCAAACACAGAAGATTTGGAATTTAACTCTGCAACCTTTGGAGTTTCCTCTTTTTTGTCTAATGCAGATACATAAGGTTCACCTTTATCTCGCTCTACATTTATTTTGATCGTGTTATTATCCACAGTTACTGCATTAGCTTCTATCTCTTCTATACCAAGTAGTCTCGGTGATGGTGCTGACAAAGACATCCAGGAATCTACGTCTTTATCATTCTGTACACCTTCTATTCTAGCACTTAAAGGGGCTCTAGCAGTGTATATAGTCCTCTGATTCTGATTTCTTATATTAACAGGTATTGCAGTATTGTTGTTAATCTTTTTTGAATTTTTGTTATTCCAATTTTGTTTGCCTGCTACTGAATTTTCTTCAGACTTAGAAGTACTGTTAGTCCATGCACTATTAATCGGCGTTTTATCGAACTTTCTTAAATTTTTACATGCATATTCTTTACCATAATCACCCTCTTTAACCTTGAAATAGTTTTGTATTAGTTCTTTCGTAGATATTTTTGTAACATCTTGTTTGTCATTGTCCTTTACATCAGTGACTTGTGGAGATTCAGTTAATTTAATGTCGTCATTTACCGTTTTTATAGATTCTATATTATCTTTTATAAAGTAACTAGAGTTTTGTTCAAACATTTTATCAATATTTAAGGGTGTAGGAGATATAGCATCTGTTTTCAGATCTTTCAATGTTAGCTCATGTAAATTATTTATTGCTTCTAATTCTTTTTTGTAATCTTCTATCACTTTAGATGTGTATGCTTTAGTTGTGCTGTTAACTAAATAGGGGGGATAGTCTGAATCAACATTCTCTTTTTGAGTATTTTCAATATTTACTGCATCAATCCTACGAGGTATATTATCACTTTCGTGTTTGTTGGGTGAATTCTGTGGTGCTAAAGTAATATGCCCTTCTTTTTTTATGAAAAAGTCTTTATATAATAATCGACTGTGATTCAGTGGTTCTGCCCACTTCTTGTCTAAAGGGAAGGTTTTATGATAATATTTATCGTTGCTACTTGTTGAAGCACTATCTAGACTTTTTGGTTGGTCTTCAATGGTAGCATAGGAATTAGATTTCTTTAAAGGAGAGGTGATAGCAGGCGGTAATGAATAATTTTGCTGAAATAATTTTTCATCATTAGGACCACTGTCTGGGTAACCTGAATCCTTAGAAGAAGAATCTGTATGTACTATAGTACTAGACATTTTTGGTTTATACGTATCAAAATTGCTTGAATGAAAATCATCATAAAAGCTATTGTACGTTTTAGGTTCTTCTGTGAAATTTCGAGCCTTTGGATTTTCATCACTTTTTACTTTGACTATGCAAGTATTACGTCCAGTCAATTCATCATCCATAATAGGTTTTTCATTTGCATTTTTATCATCTAATGAATTTTCTGGTGATAAACTAGAAAAGTTCTGGGAAGGTACACTTTCTAAATCTTGGGTGGATTCCTCTTCCACTAAAGACAATTGTTGTTTCGTAAGTGTAAGTCTTTTTGTGTAAATATCTATAGCTTGCTCTACATCTGCTTGTATGTTTGGATCAGTAAAAGTCTTATTATCCAAAGATTTATTATCAACCTTTCTATCCATTTCTAGAGGAAGAAAGTATGATTCATATGGTCGATCTTTAAATGTTGGTGAGCTATTGCGTCCATAGATCATGCTAGTATTATCATCTTTGATAAGGGACTGAGACATTTGTGGTCGCTCAGTTATCTTTATTTCAAAACCATAATTAGGTTCAGTATTATCTTCATGAAAATTATCCATTGGTCTCCTGGTTTTTCGGCTTATATTTCGGAATTTGAAATTGTTCTTGGCACCAGAGTTTTTATACTTTGGGGTGACTTGGGCCTTAGCTTTGATTTTTGTGCCTAAACTAATGAAAGTATCCTCAGATCCATAGTCAGAAGCATTGCTGCATACATCCTTGTCTTTTCTAGTAGACTGAGGAGTTTTGGGTTTTCCAAGTATATCTGTTGTTGGTGGTACTACTTTCACATTAAGCGGAGTGCCTGCAAATTGATTCTTTATTTACAACAGCAAATAATGACAAAGCATTTATTCTACATGTAAGAAATTTTTTTAGGATAAAAAATATTGTTAAAAAGACGGGTTGAATATACTTACTATTATATGACTGCAATAGTTCTGCACTAAATGTTTTCAAAAATGATCTCGTTGATGGGACTTGTTCCTTTGCATCAGCTGAAAACGGTCTTTTGTATTTTTCTTGAATATCCTGTACAAATGAAAAGTGAATTAAGTGATAATAAGACAATGTAGTTATAATCTTTACCACAAAATCAAAGTGCCGTCTATAGCAGGCTCTTAACACCACAATTTTTACTAAACAGCTACTTACTTACTTTCTACAGAAGGACTAGTTTGTGCCCATGACTTTATCCGCATGGTATAATTAGGGGAACCTTTAAATAAAATTAATTTTATCACACTGAATTTTATTGTCCCACAAACATAATAAAGCCCCATATAATATAAAGTATGGTAGACTTATTTTTGAACCCAATCTAGCCGGAGGGGATGAGTGAGCTATATAATTGGAAGAGTTTGCCCACACTCTTTGAGATTTATTAAATTTTTTACAATTTTAAATATTTAAAGAAATAAATATTTTGTCTGTTGCCTCTCAATTCATCTATGAAAATATTGTGTATGCAAGTAAAAATAACAATTCCTTCTCAAAGAACTGCCTTTCTAAGCTTCAGACTTCAAAAAACCAGAGGTACATTTTGGGCAAATGCATTGCTATATTCAATAAAGTTCCACAAAAAGTAATTGACCTACACATAAATAAACTTAAAATTCATAAACATTTTTATTTCATTTCAATGGTCTTTATAGTTTTTTCTGTCATTCTCCCGTCAATCTAGACTAGATTAACTGAGGAATAATATTCTCAACCTGAATAATCACGCCACTAGACTTTTTTACGACAAATAGGCCAGCAGTGGCAGTAAATAGATTCCTAGACAACATTATGAAGGAACAATAATTACACAAGTTGTGATTAATTATAATTTACGTAAGTATGAATATCCTAAAGTTCATGATCTTTTTTCTTTTATGACTAACTCAGAAATAAAAAAAAAACAGCTGTGACAGACGGTCAAACAGGTAACAGAGGTTGTTTATGTTAAGAGTACTGTTTCTTGTTTTTTAGTTGTAGAACCTTAAAACATCTTGAACAAAATTTACACAAACACAGTATTGATCAAGTTTCTACAACAATTTTACATACCGGTGAAAAACAAGAGTTTTGTAAGGCCGAACGCGGGCGATTTCGTATGTTTTTCTTGTCCTCTTTTTTCTTGTTCCGATAAGTTAGATTCACAGGTGAGCCCATCAACCGTAGGTTTGAATTTTCTTTCGACATTTCACATTCATTTCATCATAGTAATCGAAAAGAAAACACTAGATAGTTTGAACTTGAGTTTACACTTTCTTGTTTATTAGCAAACGTCAACTTCGGTTGCTAGGTTACGAATATTGATAGGGATGTAAAAATAATCGATTGTTTATAAAAAAAACATACATATATTTATAAATCCATTTGTAAGTTAAGATGAATTTATTATTTTTAAAATCTGATTATATTACAATTAATGACTAATGATTTTTTGTTCATTTATATTCGATAGCATTCAAGTCAAACATATGTATTTATTAAGCGCCTTACTATAAGACTGCGCTGAATAAACTTTGCTAGCTGGAATTAAAGAATAAAAATAATGGTCTCATTATTTTCATAATTGTTGAATTTGTTCAGTTGTCCTCAGAAGTTGCCAAAATTACAGTTTTATAATTTTACAGTAAATAAAGTAATTATGCATTTTTTTTTAACGTTAGCACGAAATCAATTTTACAAAAATATAGTTGGAAATAATTATCTATTCTTTGTCGATTTTTATGTGTTAATCTCATCGCAATGAGGAAGTATTAAAAAAAACATTAGTTTCCGAAATCAAACTAGATGTCGCTACGGTACGTTCTTGATTTCTCCATGACAACCTTTCTGGTTTTCTTTCAAGTTTATAAAAGTAGATTAGTTTTCAAAACTCAATAAACAACTCATATTCTATTTGTACTTTTTCATATTAGTATTAATATCTAAGTTCCGAACTTTTCAAATTTCAGTTTTTTAAAATGTTAGTTAAAAGGAACGGAAACGACTCGACGTTTGGTCCATTCGTTTCCTGCAAAAATTAACTTTTCCTTGAGTCTCCATCTAGTGGAGGTGCTTTTTTAGTGCTTTCGCTTTTTTTTAAATACTTCCTCATTACATCCATATTACATCCTTACACACAGGCAAACAGAAACAGGTTATAGTGAACCAAGAACAAACAAGAGATTTTTAAAGCTTGTTCGTAATGCTTCGATCAACAGTTGTATTGTTGATCGAAGTCATAATGGCAGTTTTGCGGGGTCCTATTCTGCTCCATGTAAAGCAAAATAGTAACGGTGGTCATCGTCCTACAGTAGTTAAAAATGGATAGAGTAAAGTTTTAAAACAGAATTTATAGTGAATACTTAATAGATACACAAAATAATATGCAGCAAATAACAATAACTATAACAGTATTTTTATATGACAAATCACTATACAGTCAAGAAATTGAATAAAGCCGAAAAAAGTGTAGCCATAAAAAAGTGTTAAGAAAAAACTACCATTTAGTTAATTTTTCAAAATGTAAAAATGAAATACCGAAAAATAAGAATATTCTTAGATTGATAAGTGGTTTGCCAAAATACTTTAAGATATTACATTGAAAATGTTTAAGTTTTTATGACAGTCTTATTTATTTATGAAATCATTTTATTCTTATTTTATACATTTTCAGTACTTGACCAGATTTGTATCATGATAGTTTTTTATTGGAACTCCATTTTATAAATATCAAAATTGCTTATAAACTGAGATATATTATAAATGTTAATGATGTTTACCAAAAGGTAAAATGAGTGTAATAACTAAACGCCACATTATGGGTGACGTCATCGATAAAAATATAACTGCGTTTCATTTCACGTTCACCTAGGTACATATCAGTATCATATTTGCGACCGGCGACTCTAGAATAAATTCTTCGACTTTGGTTTGAGGACGGTTTAGTGTAGCTCCCGTTGAAAACCTTGAAGGTATTTCGATCGGACTGTGAGTCGATGCTGCGACGTATCGCTCAAGTTTTTTCGTAGTTCTGTGGAAATTTTATCTTGGTGCATACAGGTGCAATATAATTTTGTGAACTATATTTTTTGTGTAAAAGTGTTAAATAAACCTTCGAAATGTTCAGTTCAATCGCAGGTGAGGATTTTTTTAAATATATTTTTTAATGTGATAATACGACAATAATCTAGGTGAGTACCTATACGAATTATTATTTGTATTGGATTACCTATTTATTTTTATCATTAAAGTGCCCTAGTAGTATAGTGGTTTACATATCCTCATTTTCTGTAGTTTACTTGATTTTTGGAAACATACCGTAATTAGCTTTTCAAAAAACACACGACACTTAAGTAGATCCAATTTTTTTTTTTAATTAAATTAGTTTTAGTATTTTTTATCTGAGATATTTAATATTTGAGAATAATTATTTATAAGTTTTAAAGAGGGTTCTAAAACATCTGTATCTACTTTGTAGATATAGGGTACGTGCGGTATTGCGTCTTTTAAGTATCCGAGACTGCGCTTTAAGATACCTATGTAGCTTCGTAATAATAATAAACTCTTTCTTAAATCAATGATGTTCGGTCTCGAAAAATTATGTCTGTATGGGGTGGCATAGGAATAATACAGTTACGTAAGGGCAAATGTTCGTAACCTGTATGATTTTTTTTTTTAATAATCTGTTGATACCTTTTTAGTGTGTGAATAAATTTGAGTCCACTGGTTTAGTAAACAGCCATAAGTATGTCGATGAAACGCAAATTGATAACATCACCGCTTTTCGTGAGAGCACGATCTTTTTACATGGACGTTATTGCTGCTGCTTCCGTAACTCGATGCTTCTTCCACGTTAGACTTTTTTCTTGTGGAGTTTGTTGTAGTCGCACTCATAGGCATGTGAATAAGCCTTAAAGCATACTCCTCTCGAAGTCATAATAATCCATCTAGTGTATCATAATCAGCCTGATTTGTGTATCCAGGAATCATAGAAAATTGGATATTTCACAAACGTTCATTGTGGTTTAACGACGACTTTAACTTCAATTTAATGTTCTCGTTCACAGTCATACAAAGGCGGATTTAATATCTTAGGCGTTCTCTGCCAGTCAACCTTTAGGTGATAAATATCAACGGATATACATCGATTGATATCGTTAATAGTACTTATATGTCTATTGACATTTATATTATTTGTTGTTAGTTTGAGTATTGAGTCTCAGCTAGAAAATTGAACAACTCGATGTCGATGTTGGCAACATTGACCTGAAGTAGCAATCTTACTTACGATACTAGAAATTTCGGTAAGATTGCTATTCCTATTTATTGTGATTTCGCGTTCATATTATGTTTTTCCCGTAATATGAACGTGAAGTGCGAACGGTTAGCTCGCATTAACGGTTAACCAGTAAAAATTTAATTATTATATAATAAATAAGTAAATATCAAATAAATCAAACTCAATCTTTATTTTACACTTTTGATTTAAAAGATCATAAAGGCGCTAGTAGCTTAAAAATTGTAGCTTTTTATTTGCATGATTATATCGGATTTTTGCGATCCCGAATTACGCACTTTATTATTACGCAGTAGATATTCCACAAGAACCGGATATTGTAAAACAAACATATTTGAGGTGTTAAATCACTAACGCGGCGGCTGGTCCTCACGTTTCTCGTAAACGCTAATTTTAGTACCTGTTTGTGACAGAAATTTTGCTCTTGCTCTTAGATCAGCCCTGCGATCCTGTAAAAACCCAGACTCGAATTCGAATTCACTTTATTTAGTAGTAGTAATAGTCCAAATTCTACTGATTCCATTTATTGTATAAAAACACAAAATAAAATTGATTGAATATACGTGTCTCAGATATTTTATTCCTATATTATTTGGTAATTCACATCACTTATGTCACGAAATGTTATTATCAATTCAAGAAGTGGATGCCGCCTTTTTCAGTGAATTTGGACACCTGAATGAATTCGAATTCGGGTTTGGAATTTTACAGAATTGCAGGACAGAACGTGGATAAAGTTCACAGTCATCTTGTCCAACCGTCAATTAATCAGTTTGTAGGTTGGATGAACGACGAATAATGGATATACTCTATCTTAAGTTTTAAGATCGTTTAAAAGAATCTCGATATACCTCTTCTCTTAGTGTATAAAAATGTTTTTTCCCAAGTACATAATCCATTTATTTATACCTAATGCTTAACAAGAGG